GAGAGAGAGAGAGAGAGAGAGAGAGAGAGAGAGAGAGAGATTTCCCAGATATTTCTAACTATAGCCAAGGTTTAGAACTACTGGGCTTGTCTAATCAAATTAGCATTAAAACATAAAATACATAGTGTGTTGGGGGCTCCTAAGACTATGTTTGGAGATTTGCTAGGGACTCATGGGAATCAGCATGTAGGTTTGATCATAGCAATAATTCTTTTCAGCAACATAGAAAGGATTTACATCCAGATCAGAAGAGAACAAGCCACGGTGGAGTCCAGAGAAGCCATGTGCAGGCTTTCTTGGGGTCTCCCCCTCCTATGAGGGGCCACCCTGAGCATCTCCTTTGTCCAGTAAGAAGTGTGTGCTCTTTCTGCCCAGGGAAGCCCATTCAGGAATCAAACGCTGTCTTTAGAAAAGCCCAAAATTTTAGTGGGAGTTGGTCATATAGGTACCACTCTTTAGTAGATATCAAAATTCCAGGCTTCCAGAAGCAATTCAGGTCTTTAGCATACAACAAAATTATTTGTAAAGACACAAATACAGAAAGTGTTGTTTGGAAGTTTAATTGATTTTAAGGAACTGTTCACTAGTCAAGTTCCTGGATTCCACAAGGAAGGGCCAGCCTTGATGGCAGGACTTTCTAAGGATGCATCTAGGACCAGCTGTGGGAACGCTTCCTGCACATGCAACAACCCCCTCCCCATCATCCAGGTTTACTGAGCACTTCCGTGAGGACAATCACTGTACTAGCAGTCATGATATATATAATCACATATAGTCCTTATCACAACTCTGTGATACAGAAGCCATCTTCATTTTATAGCTGAGAGAGTTTGAGACATGGTGATTTTTCTTTTTACCCCAAGAGAAAATTTACCACATCACAAAGCTGGCAAATAGATAGCTGTCATTCAAGCTGAACTGTGTTCAGTACAGACATACGCTTGTTCTGAATCTCCATTTCTCCCCCTTGATATTAGACACAGAAAATAGCCCTCCTTCTGTTTTTCTTTTATATTTATATATTTTTAATTCCCATTTTTATCAATTAGTACATTATAGTAATACATAGTACTGGGGGGGGGGTTCATTTTGACGTAATCATATAAGCATGGACTATAATCTGCTCCACCTCAGTCCCCAGGACTCTCTCTTTCCTCCTCCTTCCCCCTATTTCCCTTCCTTACTCTATTGATCTTCCTTCTATTTATTTGTAGATTTTTTTTAAAGTTAGTGCTTTTTACATAAAGATGACATTCAATGTGGCATATTCATATATGTACATAGGATAGTCTGGTCATTTCTTCCCAACATTCCTTCCTTTGCCTGTCCTCCTCCTTCCCACATTATTTCCTTCCTCCTATTCCACTTATCTCTCTTATATTATCATGGGATTTCTCCCACTTTTTAAAAAATTCTTCATTTTTCTTTAAAACTTCAGCATGTGAGAGGAAGCCTTCTGTCCTTGATTTTCTGGGTCTGGCTTATTTCACTTAGCAGGATGCTCTCCAGTTCCATCTATTTACCAGAAAATGCCATAATTTCATTCTATTTTATGAAGGAGTAAAACTACATTGTGTATATATATACCACGTTTTCTTAGTCCATTCACCCGTTGAGGGGCATCAGGAGCCCTCCCTGTTTTTACCGTATAGCACTTTTTAAAATTTGTTTGTTTATTTATTTATTTTGAGGCTAAATGATGATGCCTCCAAAAGTACATTGAATGAAATTTTACAAATTCCATTTTTTCATTGTTATCATCAACATAAGACTTTTTTTTTTTAAAAAAAGAAGAGTCTTAAGTATATCAATAAATATGGCACTTGAAAAACAAGTCACCATTAGAGGTTTCCCAAATTTCTTTTCTACATTGCAATAATATATGAATTTCACAAACTCTTGTTAGTTTGATTTTTTTTTAAAAAAATCTAAGCATCTGGGCTTTTGCTTTTCATATACTTCATTCTTCCTATCCTTGAGCATCTGAACTTTTCCCCATTGGTTAATGATATAATGGACAACTCAAAGCTGCTGACAAGTCACCAAAATGTTCAAAAAACGTTTCCACAATTTCTTTCAAGCTCTATTTCAACAAATATTAAGCTCGATTTATTATTCATTATTATTATTACCAGCACCACTAAATATATTTCAACTATTTTTTTGTAAGAAATAAGTAAAAAAATAAATATATTTCAGTTAAATGGAAACTGAAATGTGAAAGAAAAAGCTTCTCTGCTCTGTGCCGAAACAAATTCTCCTTTTGTACAAGCCCTAGCAGGTACCCTGGTTCACTGGAGCCCCCAGGAACAGGACATGGTAGGTTGATCCACCCAGGAAGCTGCTTGTGAAAACTTTAAAGAGGAGCTATGTTAGCCTGTTTTATGTTGCTATAGCAAATGCCTGTCACTAGTAATTTATAAAGAATAGAAATTTATTTTGCTCAGGGTATTAGAGAATGGAAAGTCCAATGGCTAAGCACAGGAATCTGGTGAGGGTCTTTTTGCTACATCTCAACATGGCGGAAGGCACCACATGATGAGACAGAGCAAGTATGCTAGCTAGGGTTCTCTTTCTCTTCTTATAAAACCACTAATATCTTCATGGGCTCCACTCTTATGACTCCATCTAATCCTAATTACCTCCCAAACTCCCCACTTCCAAATTAATTAACATATGAGTTTGGGAATTATGTTTCCAAAACATGAACTTGTTGGGAGTGGGGGGACTCATTCAAATCATAACAGGAACTGTCCCTGTCCCACTCTTGTGGTGAAATCATACCACAAGGGGTCAAGCAATGGCTGTTGCATGGTTTATGCTGATTCATGCAAAGATGTTCATTTAGCATTTAAAAATGAAAGATAACCTTAGTGAAATTAAGGGTTTATGTTTGTAGAACAAGAGTTTAGCAAACTTTCCATAAAGGGCCAGAGAGTAAATATTTTAGGCTTTGTGGGCCATGTGGTATCTGTCTCAATGACTCAGCTCTGCTTTTTACAGAGCAAGTAGACTGGGAGTATATGCAAACAAATGGACATGGCTGTGTTCCAATAAAACTTTATTTACAAAAACAGGCAGTGAGCTGGATTTGGCTTACAGGCTGCAGTTTTCCAGTGCCTGGCAAATGTTCTAAAACATTAGCTGACTTTGCTATGGCTCATCTTTGTCTCAAGATACCCAGACATCTTAGTCCATATTGCAGTGCTATAACAGACTACTGCAGACTGGGTAATTTATAATGAATAGAAATTTATCAGCTCACAGTTCTGGAGACTAGGAAGCCCAAGGTAAAGGACCAGCATCCAATGAAGTCCATCTCGTTCATCTTCCTGTGGCAAAAGGGTGATAGAGAGCAAGAAGTTGAACTCAGCCTCAAGCCCTTCTATAATTGGCATTAATCCCTTCAAGAGGTGACCTAAACACCTCCCATTAGGCCCCACCTCCCATTAAGGAAAACACCTCCCATTGTGGGAGATTAAGTTTCCTGTACATGCTTCTTTTGGGGAGACATGGTCACACCATGGTAACCAGGAATCATTAGCTCCTTCGTTCATAATGGACTTTATTTTATTATTTCTACCTGCAGTGCAAGCAGGGCCTCAATAGAGTTTACAGATGTGAAATGCAGAAGATTGATTTATATAGTTAACTTTCTTTATGATGGGGGCCAGGACTAATCATTCTCTAATATAAAAATGCAGATAGAGCTTGTGTATGCTAATCAATAACACACAAGCCAGTATATTTGGCACACTGCCACATCCTACATGGAGGATGGCTGTGATCTGACTGCTTTTGCAAAATGTACTCAGGTACAATGACAAAAGGAGTATCTCCACATGCCTCTATGCTGCACTACAACCGGGAGGAAGCTAGGCTATAGAATCTGCAGCAGTCAGATGTGTCTCATCACAAAGATATTCTTGGGTGACCAAAATGTACAAATACAAGTGACATCTAAATAAGGCTTTCAAGTCACAGTAGCTTTTTCCTAAATACGGTTTGAATTTCAAAATATAGCTATGCTTATTCAGTGATCGATTTGTACAAAATACAGATGCCATAAAACAAAATTTGAATTTTAACTATAGTATCTTGAGTATTCTCCCTCTCTATTAAAACCATGGCCAGCTGTATCAAAGAGTAATTACTGCCAGTAGGTGGCATCTAGAATCTAGAATAATACTGTGGACCTATATTTAACATCAGACTTGCTGATTTATGAGGGCTCACCCTCTGATGTTATTTATATTAGATCATTTTAATTTCCAACCCCATTTATTGCAGTTAAATTTAAAAATTTCCACTCAGGAAATTTGTATAAAGTTAAAAAGGAAAAATAATCCCTCCATTTGAACCTGATAATTCTACTGCAATTCCACATAATAAGCAGACTAATGTTCTGAATTTTTAAAGTGGATCTCATTTAAAGACATTAAACACTAAACACAGGCATTTCAAATACAGTTGGTCCTCTATGATTGAATAAAGCCAAGTTGCTAATTGCTGGAGCACAACCAAAAGATGTAATGAGCAAAAACACCAAACACCCTCCAACTTGGATCAATTCCATGGGAGTCAACTGAGTTTAAAAGTTTCACAAATAATTAAATTACTGAATAGGATAGACCAGAAGAAGAAAAACAACAGATTTAATTCTGTTCCTTAGAGCTCAATTTGCTTTTCAGTTGACTGTACTTAGCTATCTACAATTGCAACAAACTAAAGTCATTAAAAACCCATCCATTTTCCTACACAATCTCATCAGAACATCAATGGTTTCACCACGTATAGATAATATACTTTTTAGAAGGAGGCAGATTGCCAGACTCAACTCTTCCTTTTCTCCATTGGGCTTATCAGGAAGTCAGTGTGTCAGATTATAAATAATTAGAGGTCAAGAATATAAAGAATCCTTCTTAAGATATGTTTTCTAAGTGGTTATCTACATAGTTTGGTGTTGAAGTTTGAGTTACTCAGAGTGATTGCAGAAATAAAAGAGCATTCTTGGAAAAGTGAAGGGCAAAGGTCTAAGGTGGGGGAAAGAATAATCAGAGACTTGTATCTTACTTTAATCGGGGGCCATAAAACAGCTAAATCCCATGTCATGCTGCAGTAAAGGTTACATCAGCACTTCATCAAATATTTATAGTGTAAAAGAAGCCCTGCAGTCTGACTCCAATATGACATTAATCTTCCTGCTTTCTTTATCCCTCATTGCATCCTCTTACCTCACCCATCAACTAAATGTGTTCTCTGGTGCAAGTCTGATAATGGAGATAACTGACTAGAGAATATTGCTGTAATCAGAAATCTAGACCGTACCACAAATATGCAACCTCATGTCAGATCCTAAGGAAGCTGCATTGTGCCTTCTAAGTAAGGGGACTGACCATTCCGGATTTCCCCAAACTGAGGACCTTATTAGTATGGAAAGAGAGAGATCTTGTATGAGCTCTTTAGCTGCATCTAAGTACCCAATTTATACAAGTGCTGATTGACAGGAGAAAAGTATAAAAATGTTATGAAATGTACAGATATGTGGGCTCTTCACAGGAGAATCAATTCCAAAGGAAACACTAAAATATGATGCTTTTATACTTTTTAGACAACAAACAAATTTGTGAAAGAATGATAGGATAGATGGATCTCTGGACTAGCAAATTCTTTTTTTTTTTAATATTTATTTATTTTTTTAGTTCTCAGCGGACACAACATCTTTGTTGGTATGTGGTGCTGAGGATCGAACCTGGGCCGCACGCATGCCAGGCGAGCATGCTACCGCTTGAGCCCCATCCCCAGGCCCTTGGACTAGCAAATTCTAGGGACATTACTAAGAGATGTATGTGGTGGGGTTAGAAGCTCATGGAACATAAAGACTACTCTGGCAAGTTTGTTTATTTGGGTGAATTGAAGTCACAATGACAAGTCTGTATTTTCCTGATGTGGTGTGTGAAGAACATCCCTCCCAAAAGAATCTTTATGGCAGGACACAATCAAGGACACGAAGAGAGAGCTTACAGAATGGGAGAAAATATTTTCCACCTGCACCTCAGATAGAGCATTAATCTGAGCATATATAAGGAGAATATATAAAGAACTGACAAAATTTAAGAATCAATAAATGGGCAAAGGAACTGAACAGGCACTTCACAGAAGAAATAAGAATGGTTAACAAATATATGAAAAAATATTCAACATCTCTAGCAATTAGAGAAATGCAAATTGAGACCACACTGAGAGTCCATCTCATTCCAGTCAGAATGGCAATTATGAAAAATACAAGTAACAATATATGTTGGCAAAGATGAAGGGAAAGAGATACACTCATACATTGCTGGTGGGACTACAAATCGGTCCAACCAAACTGGAAAGCAGTATGGAGAGTCCTCAGAAAACTTGGAAATGGAACCACCATTTGACCCAGTTAACCCACTCGTTGGTATATACCTAAAGGACATTAAATCAACATACTACAGGGATGCAGCCACATCCATGTTTATAGCAGCTCAATTCACAATAGCTAAGCTGTGGAACCAACCTAGGTGCTCTTGAACAGAATGAATGGATTAAGAAAATGTGGTACATATACACAATAGAATATTACTCGCCATAAAGCAAAATATAATTATGGCATTTGCCAGTAAATGGATGGAACTGGAGAATCTCATGCTAAGTGAAATAAGCCAATCTTAAAAAAAAAAACACAAATACTGAATGTTCTCTCTGTTGTGCGGATGCTGACTCACAATGGAGTTGGGGGAGAATAGAAGTTCATTGGATTAGACAAAGAGGAGTGAAGGGAAGGGAAGGGAGCTGAAATTAGGAAAGACAATAGAATGAATCGGACAGAACTTTCCTATGTTCATATATGAACACATTACCAGTGTAAGTCCACATCATGCACATTCACAAGAATAGAAAATTATACTCCATGTAAGTATGATATGTCCAAATACCTCTACTTATATAAAAATCAATTAAAAAAGAAAAATATATTTTACTGTCATATATAACTAAAAAGAACAAATAAAAATATTTTTTCTGATCTCAAAAAAAAAATCTTAATGTCTTGCTGAGTCTAGGAAAAGACTAGCCAAATGTTCTTTTCTGAAGTTATTGTTCCCCATATGATTTTGGTTTCAAATCATCAACATTCCAATTCAGCATATTTTATGATGGCACTTTCTTGAATCCTTCTCTGATCATGGAATTTTCAGTGTTAAGAACAGGAAAATTCTAGATGAACCAGGACAAATAGGTGACCCCATTTTCAAGAGGCTTATGACATCGAGAATGAACTTGAAGTCTTCCTTTATAAAAACATTTATTCCATTTTAGTCATATAAGAAATCACCAAAAGTAGGATATTAGATTGAGAGTTCTACCACACAAAGCTTATTGCTATTAAAACAAAGATCACTGTTTAATACCCACAAGAGTCAGATGGCTTTTACATCATCCCAGACGTTTTTCTTACTCCCAACTGTCTAGGCTCATAGGTTTAGGAACAGTGGGACAGGGTGTCAGAGAGCTAATCACTCAGAGAACTAAATGTGTATATTTGGAACAGCATCTCAAATCATAGCTCTTTCGGGTACTCTTTCCCTCTGGTATTGCCCATTCTGTAATATTCATTGAAAACTCATTTATGCTCAGAAGAATATAGCAAAGCAGCTGAAAGGAGTTCAGGCAGAGGGATTCAATCAATGTAATTACCATTCTTTTGCAGGAAGCTGCTCTGGATAGCTTGAGAACTGTCAGGTGGGACTTGAAGGCTTCACTGCTTGCAAAGTCTGTGCTCATTTCATGCAAAGCTCTCTTCACAACTTTAGGTAAGCAAGCAATTTACAAACAGTACCTGTAATTGAGAGTAGGCTGAATTGTCACCCTTATTGCAACAATCTAGACAGTAGCAATATATGATAGAGCAATTAAGTAGCCAAAGTTACTATAAGGTCCCCATAGGTACTATACATGGAAAACTCAACTATGGTTGTTCTGTTTAGTATTACCCATGCCACATAAAATGCCTTTGACAAGATCCCCTCTGATGAACATCTCCTCACCTTAGGCCATGGAGAGAGGGTAGAGGATTTCCCCTTGAGGCCTGTGTTGCATGAGATCTTTCTGCTTCATGTCCATACCTTCCCATTCTGCTCACTTTTGATCTGCTGCTCACCTTTCCTAAGATCACCTCCAAATCAGGACTTGTGCTTGCTAAAGTCTTGGTGCTTCTTAGCCACCTTTCTTTTGAAGGGATCTTTGAGCATCTCAGTATTTTTCTTGGGAAACTGGATTTGCAAGGGAGCATTTGCAGCCCTGCTCTGGGTGTGGTTTACATGCTCGTGCACAGAGGCCCCTGCCAGGAGAAGTGGCAGATTGGCTGTGTAGGCAGCAGCTTCGTGGCACCCAGAAATAGGTTCTGCAGGGTATGCAAATGCAAGCAGGGGCTGCAGCAGAATGGGCCTCTGGGTTCAAAACAGCAATTTGCTCCAAAAAGGCCAGCATTTTTAGAAAACAATGCTAAAGAGTACAGCAAAAAGTTCTTGCCGTGAAAAATGCCTCCCTCTGAACCAATCTGAAGTTTCTTTCCTCTAGTAGTTTACTGGTAACTTCTTAGATAGCCTCAAGTAGCTCATAAAATGTGTTTTTCTGGGAGAAGTAAGCAATTTGTTACATGTAGCTATTCCAGAGTTTAAGAGAAAAGAAGAGCAGATGGAGAAATTTTGACCACAGACCCAGATGAACAGCTGTTTAAAAGCAGTTCCTGGAAACCAACTGCTAGGAGACAGAGGACAAGGGACACAGGTTATCTACCTGACAATCTTATCAAAGGTCATTGGTGTGCTTTCTCTTTTGCCTACCTTCCCTCTAAAAGGCGGAAAGGGCTTGAACCCAGTGCAATAACCAAGCCTGGCCATAGTGCCCCATGGTCTTCAAACATCATGTTCTCGTCCGAAAGAGAACCAAACCACTTTTTCTTTTGTACTCTCATACAATACTTACAACACCTCTGAGACCAAATGTGTGAGTTTTTTCCCCCTCACAACAATTCAATTCCATTTTCAGATCTCCAATAATTTCACTCAATTCTGACACTGTCTACCTGGAGATGGTGTCAAAACTCAGAGGTAAAGGACTCAAGCTCATGGGTCTGTCTGACTTCAGATGCCAGTTGAAAGTCCAGGTTGTTACCTATTTTTTTTTTCAGCTTTTAAAATTTGTTCTTTTTAAATATACATGACAGTAGAGTATATTTTGATATATTAAACATAATTTATTATAGGTAGAATCCCATTCTTGTAATTGTTCCTGATGTGGAGTTTCACTGTGATGTAGTTATGTCTGATCCATTCCACCATCTTTCCTATTCCTAACCCCTTTCCCCTCCTCTCATTTCCCTTTTCTACTCCACTGAACTTTTATTCTTCCCCTCCTCACTTGTTGTGGGTTAGCATTTACGTATCAAAGAGAACATTCCGTCCTTGGTTGGCTTAGGTTTCCTGTGCTTCTGAGCCACCAGCTATATACATTGAGAGTTTCTATGACCTCCTCATCAGGTTTTTTAGATCAGCTCACTGAGCTCAAGAAATCAGTTTTATTCCTAGTTTTCTGGTTGATTTTAAAGGAAACAGCTCAGAAACAAGCAGATGGAAGAGATGCATGGAGTAAGTTATGGGGTACAGGTATGTAGTTTCCATGCCCATGTTGGGTACACCACCCTCCCACCACTTCCTTTTGTTCACCAATCCAGAAGTTCTTGGAAACTTTTCTGTTGGGAGCTGGCGACCGCACCCTGAAAATGGCGCTGGTTTCCTGCTTCTGCTTCTTTAGCAGTTAGAGTTGTTAGAGGTAAACAACTCCTTGTAAGGCTGTGGGGCTGGGCTCTGGCCTGCTTCCGCTGCGCTGTACCTATTAGACTTTTCTACGTGGTGCTAGTTCATTGGCGGGGCTGGGTACTTAAGCCAGGGCAGACCGACGGCTCGGGTTCTTTCCTGTTTTCTTATGCTTCAAGGGTCCTGAATAAACTACTGAAAGAAGAATCCTGTGTCGTGTTTTCCTTGCTGGCGAGGCGTCGCGACACTTTCCAATTTGTAATTTTAGAACAAACCTGCTAGCCATTTATTTATGTATGTATGTATGTATGTATGTATGCATGCATGTATGAATGTATGTATGTATGTACCAAGGATTAAACTCAGGGGCATTTGATCACTGAGCCACATCCCTAGTCCTATTTTGTATTTTGTTTAGGGACAGGATCTCATTGCGTTGCTTAGAGTCTCACTTTTGCTGAAGGTGGCTTTGAACTTTCAATCCTCCTGCCTCAGCCTACCGAGCCTCTTGGATTACGGGTGTGCACCACCATGACTGTTTATGTACTTTTCTTCCTTTTATGTACTTATATATGCATTATATAGAGATCTGATTGATTACATCATTGGCCATTGGTGGTCGGATCCATCTCAAGTTCCTCTCCCCTAGAGGTTGGTGGGTGGAGCTGAGATTACAGCTCCCGAACAACATGGTTGGTTCCCCTAGCAACCAATTTCCTATCCTTAGGGGCTTTTTGAGAGTTACCTCCCTAACAAATGCAGATATAACTGAAAGATGCTTGTTATGAATAACAGGAGATGTTCAGTTACCATTATCACTTTCACACTTAGGAAATTATAAGTGCTCCAGGAAACCAGGAATAAAGATCAAATATGTATTTTCTACTTTATCACAACATTATAGCATCAGACATCTAAATCTATTTAGTGCTAGCCCTTGAAGAGCAAGGAGAGTGTTTGAGTGTGACTAAAAATTATAAAAAGTAACTTTAATGAAGATAAGTCTTATGTAGTTTTGGATACCTATAGAGAAAATATTTGCAGCCTAGAGTCAGAAGACAAAACTGTAACAAATTTAAAGATTGTGATTGGCTTTAGTTTGCGGTTCTAGAATTAAGCATTGCCTCGTAAAATAGAATGGATGTTCCAGTGATCTGAGTGGAGGAGCTTGGTTTTAGAGACAGAGAAGATAGAGGAAAGCAGAAATAGAGAACAATAAACAGACTGTTTGTTCAAAGTTACTTTCCTTATGAAGGTTAAAACAGAGGGTCCTGCCTTTCATACCAACTAAAACTCTTTGACCACTATCTTTTACTCTCAATCTCTTGGAAAGTCAGATGAACCTCAGTTTCAGTGTGGTAGTGATGTGGAACTTTAGCATGGGTAACTCCATTTTGCTTTGGGCAGTTTGGCCTGGCTTAAGAGCTCAATTCCTCCAATGGCCTCCATAAGTTCTATTTAACACTAGTAATCTTAAAACAAATCTTCTAGGCTTTTATTTGTTTATTTATTAATTTATTTTAACTTGGAGGGGAGAGGGTACCAGGAATTGAACTCTGGAGCACTAGATCACTGAGCCACATTCCCAGCCCTATTCTGTGTTTTATTTAGAGACAAGGTCTCACTGAGTTGCTTACCACCTCAATTTTGCGGAGGTTGGCATGACTCATGATCGTGACTCATGATCCTCCTGCCTCAGCCTTCTGAGCTGCTGGGATTACAGGTGTGCGCCACCACGCCCGACCTTTTCTTTATTTTTTTAATTAGTGAAGAGGGATTGTCATTTACCTTGTTTTGGAGGATAGGTCATTTAATGAAAGAGGTGTAGGGGACTGATGAAGCATTTGGGCTCTGAAGTTGGAGTATTGGGGTACAAATCCTAGTTCCGTCACTTGGTAGTTTGTGAGATGCACAACTATTTGTCATTTTTTATTTGCATTTTAAAGGTATTGGCAGTTCCTGCAACATTTGGTGGTTTGAGTATGAATGAATATGTGCCTAGAATTATAAATGGTGCTTACCAGACTCTTGTTAGTTGTTATCATTGTCTTCATTGAAACCATAGCTCTTTGTGGATTTGGGTACAAGTTTTCAATAAGTGGATGTCATAAAAGTTGCTGACTGTATTTTTGTGTCAGCAACAAAAAATCTCATATTTTCTGGGATCATTTTATTTAAGATATTCTGTTTCTATATTGCCATACTTTCTGGAATAGCTCAGAAATTCCAAAATTATGACATGTAAACAACATTTCCCAGGTAGTCATTGCATGCAATGGAAAACTAGGAATTCCTGTAAGTCTTCACGTTCTGATTTTATGTCGAAAATATAATACAGCCACCTTGGTTCTGTTTCCATTTGCACCTCCTGGGCTCTTGCCAGCTTCCTTCTGGGTCACAATTCCAGCTCTTACTGATGAGACAACTGTGCTCATGTATTACTCATTTGATTCTCCAGAAGTTCATGTTTATTCCTCCCACTGAAAGAGCAGAGAATGTTGGACTTCTGCAAGAAGCTTACAAAACTAAAACAAGCCTCATAAGAACAGTCACAAAGGAAAGATTTCAAATGGGACTACAATGTGTTCATAAGCGGATACACTATTCTTTATTCAAGATCCTACTCAAACATCATTGCCGCAGCCCGGCTGGCTGGGCAAAATAACCGGAGGGTGACGAATAACTTGTGCACGTTGACACAGCAGGAATAGGAGCCGTTTATTGTAGGACAACAGAGCTATTTATACATTTTGCACAGCTTATCTTAATTAGCATAAACTAGATACATCAGTCAACCAATAAGGAATCTCCACACTTAATGGCTTGCTTTTGTTACGTCTCAAACCACTCCCTCTGGCATTTTGCCAGGCACCATCCAGACTTGTTTATGAACTCTAACATTTCTCTGGCAAAACACCAGGTGTTATTTTGACTTGTTTACAGACCTTAACATATCCCCCTTTTGTTTAATTTAAATAAGGACCATAGTGTTTTTTACAGAAACACCATAAGTAACCTGCTACAAACAGAAAGGGAGAATTCAAAATGCTACAATACCAAGCCAATCGATGGCTCCATGCAAGAAGCCCTTGGAAAAATTATACCAGCAATAACACCGTTTGCAAAGATACCAAGTTATAATTTGTTGTAGATTACAGTTTGTTGTCTCAGTCCAGGTAAAGCTGTGTCTCAATAGATTAACTCACAGTCCAGGTAAATCACAGTCCAGGTCTGCAGGCAGCTAGCTTAAATCACAGTCCAGGTAAGTTCTGCAGGCAGCTAGCTTAAATCACAGTCCAGGTAAGTTCTGCAGGCAGCTAGCTTGAATCACAGTCCAGGTAAGTTCTGCAGGCAGCTAGCTTGATCCAAAGTCTCGTCCCGTTTTCAGCCGAAGTCTCCTCCAGTTCTTAGCAACACTGGAAATTCTTCCACCTTGTCTTTACTGGCTCTGGGATGAAGGCAGGAACTCTGCAATGCTGGCTAAAGAAAATCCTGT